GGGGGGGGGGGTTCTGCAGCTGTCCCTCCATCATACAGCCCCCATTCTTCTCTCCAGCCAGCTGTCCCACATGGCACCACGACTGGCTGAGATGAGATGTAGCCAGTCCCCGCTGAAAGCACTGTGGAGAGTCACAAATAATACGAACAAACAAGATATTTAGGCAGGGGTCACGGATGGGAAGCTAATGTGACTCTGCTTTGATGAAAAAGGCAGGGACCTACACGAGGGGCTCTCCCAGCTGCTGATGGAACGTCAAAAGGAAGGAATAATACTATTGAGACGGAATCACAAGTTGCTTTCTCACATGCATCTGTCCCTGAAATATTCAGGAAAATGTTCCCGCATGGAGGTTTAGGGGAATCTGCACGATCAATTTCCAACCTCAAGACGTAGTAAGATTTCAGGGGGGAAAAAACGGTTATCCTGTGCTGTGAATGAAAGCCATACAATTACAAGGACGAGCACGTAATCGATTATATCTGTCTGAAAAAGAGGCTTGAACCAATCACAAGACTTGGCTCATGAGTTCTTTGACTCATCTTGCCCCATCTATAGCAGTATTTACACGGCATGTTTAAAAAGTGAAAATCTTTATAGTGTAGCGCCTTTGAATAAAGGCATCTTTTAGTTGCATTTTACGTCATGGTTGACGTAAAAACTCCACAAAAAACAGCTTCTGCTTTAGACAGAAAAGGTTACGTGTAAAAAAAAAAAAGGGTGATAGTTTATCTTGTTTCCCATGGCAACAGATGCAGAGCGGATGCTGGAGCGTCAGGCTTGAATGTGTTTTTTACTGATCAAATTTGATTTTGGAGTGGCAGTATTATTACATTTTTTTCAACACATATATACAATCGGCAAGCAAGAAAGACGAACCATATTAAAACATGTTTCCATATGCTGGATGAATATTGTCTTGTTTACTGTAACAACAACAGTCCATCTTCGTTCTAAGGCCAACTCTGGTATCTTACAATCTTATTCGACAATAAAAAATGTCATGTTTTGATACAGGATGTTTTATTTCCAGAGTGCTGATGCTGAGTGCTGCCAGCTTCTGCTCACATTAGAGTAAACATTCTGTAACGTGGTGCAGCTCTTTAATTTAGCTTTCACATGGATTAAGCAGGCACACAACAACTTGTTGACAGTGTGTGATAATGTTAACACAGTGATGTCCTATTTTTCAAACAAAAATACCACGTAATCTATTTAATATAATGCTTTCATGTATATTTTATAAAAGTATTCTAATAAAATATTTGGCTTCTTGGCGCCATTTCAATCACTGCTCAAATTATTCCAGATGTGGCATAGAAAATATTAACATGTTTTTTCCTTGTGTGGGAGAGATAAGCAACATCCGGTTGTAAATGCCGTGGAGGACAGATATATCGTATTTCAGCCAAAAACACTAAATTATAATAATAACATTTGTAAGGTTATTTTATGATAGGCTGTTTACCAGTATGACCTTATATCGACTAGAAACTGATTTTGGTCATAAGTATGCTCGCATCATGATCTGTATGTGACCTGTTGCGTTTGTTATATTCGTAAAAGGTTGGCAACGTTGACAAAACAGGAAAACCTCATACCCCAGATGGAGAAGAAAATCATAAAATACTTTGTTTCGACTCAATTAGTGTTCATATTTGACTTTATTAAAAAGGCTACTGGTTTGATAAAACTTGTGTAGTTCCTTCAAGTTGGAGATTATGTATCTGTCAGTAATCCTCAAAGGTTTATGTAGACGTTAATATTACACATTTGCTCTAGGGTCTAAATCAGGGCTGTCCAAACTACGGCCTGGGGGCCAACTGCAGCCTGTTGTCCATTTTGAGTGGCCCACAGCAAATTCAAAAAGTATAATGGATTTATTTCTTAAAGCACATCCAAGTATCAAGCATCCAAGTATCAAGCATAATTGTGCTAGATTTGATTGATTTTGCTGACTTACTGTATAACTTAACTTATGAGGCAATATACCTAACCTCCATTGAGTGGCCAATCCCTTCCTATGTTTTTCTGTATGTGGCCCTCATTGAAAAAAGTTTGGAAACCCTGGGTCTAAATGATGTGAACGCAGCACAGACCTTTTAGAAAAAGGTGGCAAACACAAAGAGTTTTAAGAGTTTCTGCTGTAACGAATACAGTTATGTTTAATTCATGGTATTTATTTTAGCGCAAGTGCTCAAAGTGCTTTACATTGCATTATATTACATATATTAGACATGTCATACATTGGATACTGTGGGCAATACCCACACTTTAGATGCATTGAAGTCTGTGGTATCATTAAATTGTAACCATTCAAAGTATTTCTTCTCAATTGGCCAGTCAAGCATTCAGAACCTTGTATGATGTACTGCTTGCCTTCGTCGTTAATGCTTCCCTGAAGATGACTCATTAATACACAGCAGCTTTGCAAACAATTCAAATGGAATGAGTGGGAATAATACTCGGCGCCGCCCTCCCCCATCATTCAGAGGATCTGACCATGTGGAAAATATTCACGAGCTTGTCTCTTTTTTTATCGGACTGCTTGTTATGAATCAAAAAAGTATCTCATACACTGCTATTATCAAATCTGTGTGCAGGTTGACGTGATGGCCATATTAAAACTAGTACGGCAGAAAATTAAACAAACAAAGCGGCGTAGGCTGGTTCGGCTTACGCACCATAAAGCAGATGAGATGCTGATTTAAAGCAAGTTTTATTACACAGCTTGCAGTAAATAGTATGGAGCGTACAGTATATTGGATGCAGTATAAATACTTAAACGACAGCTTGGCCAACCTACGCGTCATTGGATGCTCTAATCAGAATGACACACAGCAGATGTCACTCTACACATATAGAAACATCTGAAAAATATAATAAAAGAGCTAAACTGTTTGTGTTGTTTTGCAGATGTACATCCAAACCACCACACTGACCATCTCCGTGAGTCTGAGCGCCTCCGTGTCTCTCGGGCTGCTCTACATGCCCAAGGTCTACGTGGTTCTCTTCCACCCCGAGCAGAATGTGCCCAAGCGCACACGCAGCCTGAAGGCTGTGGTTACTGCCGCCACCATGTCCAACAAGTTCAACCCCAAGGCTGGACTCAGACCCAACGGAGAGGCCAAGACCGAGCTGTGCGAAAGCCTGGAAACACAAAGTAAGAGCATGCATGCTAATGAGGATTAAAAGCACCCAGTTGTATTTATTTTCTGGCATATTCTGTCCTTCAGTTTCTGTAAAGCAAACACATTGGTGCAGAGATATGAAGCACAGTGTAAAATAATCCCTGATTAACAGATGTGTGGTATGTTAAATAACACTTCATAGAATCCAGTAATTGTCCCATTGTTGTTTGTGATGTAAGGGGTGGGGGGTGGTGGATATTGTTTGCAAGTCAGATGAAGCATTATAGGATACTTAGTTATGACTGTGGGGGGTGAAGTCTGTTGTCAACAAAGAAACACATTCTGCTAAATAATTCAACTACACTCAGTGAAACCTTAACATATGGCAAGTGAAACATTATTTTTATTATGTCATTTTATTTTCAATATTTGACTGAATTTAGCGGCTACAGGTGAAATCTGACCATTATCACATATTATAATATACATAAAATGTTAATAAACAGAACAAGTATATGCTTTGATATTGCAGCATTACTACAAAACGGAAATGATTATTTCTAAAATAAAAGCCTATCAAAATGTGTGAACCAGTCAGATAAATGACTTCAGTCTTAATGTGGTTGAGGGCACCAATGACCTAATCTATATGTGTTCATCAATGACTTCAACTACTTATTAAACTGAGGTTATAGTCATTTATGAGATTCAGTATATGGAACTTTTTATGTGTAAATATAATATCTTTGTGTTTTGGACAAAACACTTAATTTCAAGACCTCACCTTGGGTTCTAGAACAATGTGAACTGTATAAAAAACAATAAATCTAAATAATAATAATAATCCAGAGAACAACTATTAAAATCATTGTGTGCAGTCAGAGTTAAAACTAATTGTTTTAACTCATTTTTCTTATCTGAAACAGCTGAGCGCCTCTGACGTGCCCTCAACAAATCTGACTATCAATACAATTATGCAACTGTATCAGTTACACACACGTAAAGTAAATGATGACTTGAGTAATTGAGTCAGCAGAAATGACTCATGTGGCGTCCAAAACGCTCTTCATCAGCTCGCCGTTTGAGAACGGTTCAACGGATCATGTCAGATATGATTTTGCTGCGTCTGGCCTGTTATAAAAAGGAAATGGAGCCTATTGTCACACATTTAAAAGCTGTTTACTCCTTACTTTCCCACGCTGCTGAGAAATGTTTCCCTTCGCATTAGAATAAAAGAGCTAACCGTATATTCCCCGTTAACACAGAAAACAGAAATCCATATAAACTGTGTGACAATGCAACAATGGGGGTGGGGCCAATCGGAATTGCCACATGTAAACACACGGTGCAACATTCATTCCTTCCACTGCTTTAAGTTTCCCTGAAGGGTTAATAGGGCCTTTTGTTACAATAAGTGGCGAGAAGGCAAAGGCGCAGTATTGATAGCCAGCAGCAATTTATTCTGATGGGGTTACCGTTTACAGGGCTTTACAGTGCATGGCTATTTGAATAAGCACCATTCGTCATTGTCATCGCCACTGTGGATATATGGCTTGATGAAATTGAAAAATTCCTGTCTGGGCCGGCGCCCACAACTGCCGAGATCTGGTGGGCGATATGTCAGGATTTATCTGCTCCACCCCAGCGAATCAGCTAACACGGTCTGGGGAGACAAGCGGGAAGTTGAAGCCTGATGGCTGAAGGAAAATAAGGTGTGGGGGGGCAGGAGGCTTTACTGAAACCCCCATCTGCTGTAGGTAGAACAGACATTTAGGGAGGACAACAATAAAGCCAGAGTTGAGGATTTATTAGAGAATTGAATTGAATTTTGCAACACTGCAGCATTAGGACTAAACACATGTTTGCACTATTTGGCATTTCCTCTTTTTACTTCAGGAAAAAAAAGGTTGATCAAAATGCCCACTCCACCTTTAGAAGTCTTTCTTATCTCACAGGTTACTACAGTTCAACTTGACCTCATTCTAATCAATTTTTTCTCTTTCAGATTACCCAACAAAGCAAACATACATCAGCTACAGCAATCATGCAATCTAAGGGACAAAGGTTCTCATCATAATTCAGGATTTACAATAAAAACACGCAGTGGATTTTCACACAGCCGGCATAAAAAATTGATGTGTCATTGTACGGGTGGAGATCACAGAAGCGTTGCCCAAAGACGTGAAGTGAGGAGAGACCACAGGGACCGACAGACAGGGGAACAGATAACAGTAAATGCAAAGTCCCATCTTCTGTCTGCCTCAAGAGAATACACACACACAAAAAAAAAGAAAATACTTGCATGGCAGAGGCCGGGAGACTGATGGACGGAGCTTTACTTTTGAGTGTTTACATTTCAGCTGTGTCCTCTTTCCTACACTTCTCCGTTATCTTGAGCCGTGCTGACGGAAACTGAACTAAAATCAAGAATATGTTCAGGTGTTCTCTGTGTCGTCTGCCAGTTTTGAAAAGCCGTAATCTCTCTGAAAACCCTCAAGGCATCACAAGGGATTAATCAACACCAAAAAGGCATGAAAACATGGACAAGGGGGGAGGGTTGTGTTTGTTTTTCTTTCTATATGTCATCTGGTCTCATGAGTGAAACTACTGGAAAGGGCGATCATCTCAACAATGCAACAAATCTGAACCGAACTCCATGTTTTTTTATTTTCCAGGATTCATAAAGAAGGACTCTAAGACGGTCTCTGCCAATTTTGCGCATGCCAGTTTCAAAATCCTGTGTTGTGTTGATAAAATAAAAAAAAAATAGAAAAATAATATATTTGGAATGCGTTTTAAAATCTGTTGCAGCGATGTTAACAATTGTTTGGGCGTGAGCCCGTTGTACGTTGAAACTGTTCTCAAATGGTGAAGGTCTAGTGAGTGATTATTTATCTGTGCTTAAATGAGGCCATGATTTGTATTACCAGCTAGCCCAAGGCTGCCACTGCCCTCCACATACCTGTATGTGCGTTCAAACAGCAGCCCGTGGTTAAAATCAACCGTATTTTATCCAGGAGGTGTAACTGTCAGCTGTGGTCCAGGATGACCCCCCCCCCAACACCCCCCATCACTGCCACCAGCTTTTCTCTTGGTCACACGTAGTGTAAGGGTAAAGCTTAGCTGTACATCCATTAGCAGGGGAATTAAGATGAAGTATGCCCTTGAGAGGATTGTGCAATATGACCTGAAGGTGATATCCATAATGGACCAGCTATTGAGAACATTCATTACTCTACATGTCCTCCTCAGGCACTCTCATGATAAGGAGGAGGTGTAAGGCTTTTCAACAGATGAGAATCTGATAGCAAAAGTATACAATATATCTATTAATCGCTCTCAGCTCGCTGAACAGATTAATTGTTGGCTTCGTGCGGTATAAAAGCCCTCTAATGTCTTGGGGGAAAACATTGTGGGTCATTTGTGTTGTAAATTCAATGCTGCTCTTCATGCCTCCCTCTGTATTACTTTCAACACCATTTGTGTTGCAGAATAAAATGTGAGTGCTGACCAAATTAAATGGCAAGTTAATGTATGTTATTAAATAGATTGATGATGTCTGCTTTATGTCCTGACATATCCTAAAATTGGGGGAAATGTACAAAAAGATACAGTGCCTGGCTATCTGAATATGTATTTGTAAAACCTCATGAAAACTAATGAAGTGTGTGAAGCATGTTTATTTTTTTTTTATACAAAATTTTATTTCTATTAAAAATGTTTTCAAACTTCAACTTCGGATTTGTGTGATTCTGGTGAAAGAAGATTTCCTTTATGAGATGGTTCCTTCCTTAATAAGCTTAAAAAATAAAGGGCGAGATGCTTTCATTTTCTCATGCAATGCATACAGAATGGCCCATGAGCACATTTGCATTATCTTCAAATAAATTATTGGCAGTTCTTCTTTGTGAATACGGGTATTTCATCCCTCTTGTAAACTAATAATGTGATGTAACAAAAACAGTCTGTCCGCCCTGAAGAAAGAAGAGAATGGCTGCCATCCTCTGAATAATATGTTGCCACCACTGCTCTGATAATAGCTCTGGCAGAACGTAGAATTGTTGGAGGGAAACATGAAATTATTTCAAATGAAAGGTTTGCTGCTACTTGAAACCAGCTCCTCTGCATGCAGCAATCTCTCAGCCTCTATCATCTTCTCCTCGCCTCTCTGATACTGTTAGCCCACTTTACAAAAGGCTCTGAAATAACAATTGTTGCTTTGCAAGTGTGCTAAATGCCCAAATGCTAGTTACTGAAATATTCACGACAGATTATATATCATCCTCTCACAGCAGCGACAGAATGAGGTGTCTTCAATGTTTGGTCTCATGAGGCTGCGGGTTTGCATGACACACACTCCTGTTGATGATTTTCTCCCCTTTTGTTAGCAACAAATGAGGAATATGTCATGCGACTATGAAGCACTAACCAAGAACACTGGTGTGACAAAGTGATGAGTCCCTTAAAGGGCCCTTTAAAGCTTTTGGGGGGGGTTTCCCTTACCTGTAGTGAGTTGTATAGGTTGTTGTGCATGTAAAAAGCTAAATCTGGCACTGTTACGCTTGACACATTTGTGTGTTTTAAGTGTTCATTACTGTGCATTGTCCCTACTAAATAAACGATTAAAATAAATGGTCTGCAAAGGCCCAAATCACACGACCCCCCCCCCCTGCCTGAAGCCTCCATTGGAGTCCTTTGTTTGCCTTTGTAACATGGTGACATCACTATGTAACACTTGCGCTTCTATTGGCTAGTGTTTCAACACATTGTACGTGATAGACTAAGGGGCGGGACATCTCTATGTGGTTGACCAATCACAACAGAGCCGGCCAGCTAACCAATCAGAGCAGACTGAGCTCTGGTTTCAGACAGAGGGTGAAAAGAGGTGCTGCAGCACAGGCAGTATGAGAAAAATAAAGAGCTTTTTGAACATTAAAGCATGGAGACATGTCACATTAGAGACACTAAATATACATATGAACTGAAAATGAGCATAACCAGGCCCCTTTTAAAATGGTATCTATTATGTTGCATTACCACATCAGCAAGTATCAGTATCACATTTCAATTTTCCATGCTGCAAACGTTTCAACGGTCAGTATGAATCCCTCAATATTAATCCAGCATGCATCACTTTCCAATGCACAACCAAACACACACTTGTGAAACATTGAATACAAAAATAGAAACAGAACGTTTTTCTGCTGGCTGCCAAATACAAATCTATAAACAGCATGAGAGACACTGCAGACCCTGATGTGAGTACTTATTAAATAAATCAGTGGGCCGAGGCCAATGCAAGCTTCACATAACCTCTATTTTGTTTCTCGAGACCCTCACACTGAAATAATCAGTCCCACATGATGTTACAGATACGGTGAGCAGGATTCAACATTTTTGTTGTACTACATGTACTAGAGAAAAAAAAGCATATACTCTCTCTATATTAAACAGAAGACATTTCTCCCTGTTAATGTTCTCCATCTAACAGCTAATTCTAAAGTAAATAGGAACACTGTTAATCCTATAGGATTGTACAATTTAAATATTGGTCATTTGAATGGGACAATGCTAACATAATGATAGTTCACATGACACAGTTTCTAAAGCTCTCTCATGAGGTTAATATAAACTCATCCTGCAGCTTCTTCACACTGTAACTGTGCAGACTTTGACTGTGAAGCATGCGGCTGGTAGGAATGGAGTTCTCATTCATAGTTAAAAACTCCAAAAGCCTGACAACAGATCATTTTAGCTTTAGACTCATTATCATGAAATTAGTATATAAAATCATAACATGAAAGTATATTTTTTGTATTTGATTTTGCAGTAAAATGCCTTTAAATATAGTAAAGTGCTTTGGCTGACAGGTGCACACACGTTATAACCACCAACAACAAAAAAGTGCTGCAGTTTAAAAAAACATTTCTCCTCTTGGAATTGTTTTGGGCTACTGTTGCGTGTTTGCATCTCTCGGACGCATTAGGAAAGTGCCAACATATGCATGCAATGTACGTAAGTAAATATAGATGTAAACTCTTGCAAATCATTCAAAGAGAAACGTTTTGAATGAATGAATGGATGAATGAATGGATGGATGGATGGATGGATGGATGGATGGATGGATGGATAGATAGATAGATAGATAGAAAGACAGACAGACAGACAGACAGACAGACAGACAGACAGACAGAAGATAGATAGATAGATAGATAGATAGATAGATAGATAGATAGATAGATAGATAGATAGATAGATAGATAGATAGATAGATAGATAGATAGATAGATAGATAGATAGATAGATAGATAGATAGATAGATAGATAGATAGATAGATACTACAGAATTACACATACAGGAGGAAAAATAATAAACTTTTCTTTGATTACTTTTTGAAATAATACCAATACCAGCAGAGACTTTAGTTTCCATAGCTAAGGACTTCTCTCCTAACTGTTAGAAGACAGGAGACTTGTGTTATTTCTACAACAGCTGGCCTCTCCATGCTTCACTGCACGTGAGTCTGAAAACAGGCTATTTTCAATAAAGTTGACAAATATTAGGGGCAACTTGAGATTGTGTTTGGCAGCGTAATGGCAAAATACATTCAGAAACGCATTTCTGTGGGCAGCAATAATGACACGACTAAAGAGTTCAATGTAATCCACCCTACAGGGTAACTGCTGATGGGAAGATACTGATGCTCAGATAGATGATGGGTCATCAACAGATCTAAAAACGTATATGATCTTTTGACACTATAAATGTGGGGACTTAACCATGTCGTTCATAAAAAAGGGAAAATTCCTCCTCAGCACGTAGACCCCTGCTCATCCTGATCACAGTGACAATGACAGCTCCTTCAGATTAGTGGAGTAAATTAATTAAATACAGCTCCCACATCAGTGGGAAATATTAATATAAGCATACATACCCACAAAACCAATCACACGAGGACTAGAGCACGGTGCAATTATTAATCCTTTCATATGTTCTCGAAATGGTCCTGTCCCACTTTCCTAAGGCAATTTAACCATGTCAAAGTCCATAAAAAGTGTAAACGAAAACCCTTTTTTCTTGCAAAATATGTCTCAAAAAGTAATTACAATGGTTAAAGTCATCAAATAACAATTAACGATGTCATTAATCACATAAACTGTGGCTGATTGCAATGGACGGGGACACTGAGTCTTCAGCAGTTCCTGAAACAGTCCTCCTTTTTGCAAGTATGAAAAGCTGAGCAAATAAAAAGTGCTTCCCGTCCTCCCCTGTGTGCACCTGAGGATAACACAATACAGCTGCCCTCAGGTGACAGAATAAGCACAGGAGCACATTTGTCTAGAATCGAGCTCCAATATACATACATAGCAGGATTAGGAAAAGCAATGCAGTGCTGTTTGTCTCAGGGGTCTTTTGACTGAGCGGTGCAGCATTGCTATTGGATACCATCATAAACACTGAGGAAAGATCTAGAAGACTGATCTTCCAGCAGAGGAGAGCGAGCCAGGCGCACAAAATGCTCAACTATCACTGTGGACTGCGATAGAAGAGCGCTTATGCAAAACAAGAGACTCTGAATGTATGAAGCAAAATATTGCGGTATTTGTTAGATGAAGTATTTCTGAAAACAAGCGGCAGTGCTATCATGCTCCGTGTTTGTGCTTAAGGAATCATAGCCCAATGTTTTCATTCACGTTTTGTCTTTGATAGTGCTGAGTGATCACAGTCTGTAGCCTATACACAGTGCATACACTATGTTGCTAGGAAACAGTAGCTCATGAATATCCTGCAGTTATTGCAGAATCAAAGGAGTAATGCTCTGATAGTTCAGCGCCTGAATGAAAGAGAAATGTCATAAATAATGCATGCTATAGAGTGATATAAAGATGACATTAAATATGTCACATTGTAGTATGTTTTAAAATAAGTCTGAGTATATCGAGTCATTAAAAAGCATAGTATTATGTCGTTTATTATTGTATACATTCAAATGTTATAGTATGACAGTACAACCGGTACCGATAGCTCGCAAGCCCTCAATAAGTAGGCTACAAGCAAATCCAAAATGTAAAAAATACACAAAAAAAAATAGGAAATGTAATTAAAAGAATCTACCCTATAAACGAAACATAGCGAACTCTATTTACTTACTACAACTCTATATCTATCTAACACCCCTCCTCCCCCACAACGAATATCGACCAATCACGTTCTTGGTTGATTTGCGGGACCAGCGTTGCAGTCGGGAAGAAAAGCAATGTGGAGCGGCACCTCACCACACACACACACACGCACGCACGCACGCACACACACACACACACACACACACACACACACACACACACACACACACACACACACACACACACACACACACACACACACACACACACACACACACACACACACACACACACACACACACACACACACACACACTACTGAAAAAAATCTGCCCTCGCACACACACTACTGAAATACTCTCACATTCACTACTGAACACCTCACACACACCCAACTGACATTTAAGCCTCACACATACGATACCACTGAAAATTAACCTCACACACACGCAACTGAAAATTAACCTCACACCCACGCAACTGAAAATTAACCTAACACACACACACTATTGAAATCCTCTCACATTCACGACTGAACACCTCACACACACACTACTGAAAACATCTGACCTTGCACACACACAACTGAAATACTCTCACATTCACTACTGAACACCTTGCACACACACTACTGAACACATCTG